TGTCAATGCTGTTAAAAATGGTACAGCTATCAAATCATCATAGAATTATAGGATCCCTACAGTGTAGAAGCAGGCTATTTGGCGCCTTAAATCCACATTGAAGCTCTGAAGAACATCCTACCCAAACCTAAACCCCTACCCCATCCCATAACCCTGCCAACCCACCTAGTCTGCTCATCCCTAGACACAACAGGCAATTTAGCATGGCTTAATCCACCTAACCTGCACATCTTTAGACTGTGGGAGGAAACCGGAGCACTTGGAGGAAACCCACGCAGACACAGGGAGAACGTGCAAACTCCACACAGGCAGTCACCCAAGGCTGAAATCAAACACAGGTCCCTGGTGCTGTGAGGCAGCAGTGCCGAACACTGAGCCACCGTGCCGTGGAATAAATATTTTCTTTCGTGAAATGTGGGTTTCACTTGCAAGGCCAGCGTTTGTGTTCCTACCTTATTGCCCTTGTATTGAGTAGCTTGCCTGACCATTTCAGAGAGCTGTTATCATATGTAAGCTCGGCAAGGTGGGGATAGTAAATTTCCTTCCATAAAGGGTATTAGTGAACCAGTTGAACACAATCAATTATTGCTTCTTCATGACACTATTACTGAGACTAGCTTCATATTCAGGATTTACTAAGTGAAGTTAAATTTCACCAGCATCTATAGTGGGACTTGAGCCCACATCCACCGAGCATTCATTTAAGGTTATTAGCTTGGTATCATTACAATTGCACTGCCATCTCCCTCATTTGGCATGTGTGATAGAACTCAATGATGTTGAAGTACTGGTTTGTGATCTTAGGCATTGAATAAGCTCTCATTGTTGCCAAAGCACCATAATGTTCAATGATATTCAGAAGATTTCAACTTGGGAATCGAAAGCTCTCAAAGCTATCAAAATGAAACTCTTCAAAGTGAAGTTCCCAAAGGCCTCTTCAAAAGCATTGACAGACATCAACTGACATGGAATCAGCAATTTCACACATTGAGAAAAAGGCAACTAAGAAAAACATGGCAAGAAAATTAACGACTAATAAGATCTTAATTTATTCACCTTTTCATTTGGTGAATGACAAGGGTCTTTTCCCTAAGGCACGGGAGTTCAAAAGTAGGGGGTATATTTTAAGGTGACAGGAGAAAGATTTAAAAAGGAGAAGAGGGGCAACTTTTTTACAGGGAGCAGTTTGTGTTTGGAGAGAACTGCTAGAAGAGGTGGTAGATGCAGGTACAATTACAACATTTAAAAGACATTTGGATAAATTCATGAATCCTTTTATTCATTCATGGCTTGAGGGCATTACTGGATAGGCAGAATTTATTGCCCATCCCTAATTGCCCAGGGGGCGGTTAAGAATCAACCACATTGCTGTGGGTTTGGAGTCACATGTAGGCCAGACCAGGTAAAGATGGCAGTTTCCTTCCCTAAAGGATATTAGTGAACCAGCTGGGTTTTTCCCCAAACAATTAGCAATGGATTCATGGTCATCATTAGACCCTTAGTTCCACATATTTATTGAATTCAAATTCCACCATCTGCCGTGGTGGGATTCAAACCTGGGTCCCCAGAACATTATCTGGGTCTCGGAATTAACAGACCAGCAATAATACCACTAGGCCATCGCCTCCCCATAAAGGTTTGGAGGGATATGGGCCATATTCAGGTAGGTGGGACTAGTTTAATTTGGGAACATGATTAGCGTGGACTGGTTGGACCAAAAGATCAGTTTCTGTGCTGTAAGACTCTATGACTCTGAATTTATTTAGTGCAATAAGCAGCTTCCGCCACATGGTATAAAATCAATTTTAAAAGTAATAAAACTATAAATGTAACAAAGATGATAAAAATACATTCAAAAAGAGACTACCATCAGTTCTTGACCAGCTTCATGAGTCCCATTAATGAACTTTAATTGTGAAAGACCCTGGGTAGTTGTCTTACTTTGCACAACAGCTGTTGATGGCACGGTTGAGCTCCAACTCAATCGTGGAACTCTATCTTTATTATGGTGCTGTCTCATGAAACATGAAAACATAACGTGCATTTATTTGGCTAACTCCCTCCCTAAATTCACCTTGTTCTTCTGCTGACTCCATCTTCTCCTGCTCCTGCTGCTCCTCTGCCACCTCAGCTTCCTTCTGCTCCTCGAGCTTTTGGTCTTCCAATGCTTCAATACCCTGGTCTTTGCTCCATTTTCCTGTTCCTCCACCTCTACTTCCTCTGCTGCTGTATCCTCCTTCTCTGTTGTTGTGATCACCTCCTCCTGCTCCCCCACTGAGATGGCCCACTGCACCACTGTGACTTCATCCTCTGTTGCCATAACCACCTCTTCCTTCTGCTCCTCCATTGCCTTAATCTCCTCCTCCAGCTCATCTGGCTCCTGCTTCTCTCAATCTTGACCTCCTCCTGCTGTCTCCTGTATCATATTTCTTCCAGACCTGTTAACTCCACCACTATGGTTGCCTTTTCCAGTGGATAAATTAGGGAATGCTTCCTTAGAGTAATGGATGGGTGTTGGTATAGAGATTCTGTATGCTTCTCTCTCCCTCTCACTCTTCCCTCACTCTCCCTATATTACCCTGTAAAAGTGTGATAATGTCCAAAAATTTCCACCATCAGCACTTTACCCCTGATTCCTTTCGCTGATAAAACTCTTTATTCCAGGTGATTGATCACTTCTTTACAGCGATTCTCTGCAGGTCCAAGTAAAAACCATTCTTTCTTCTGTGTAAACTTCATCCCCGAATGTCACGGCTGTAAGGTCACTTCTGGTTTCAGCTCCGGGCCCAGGAGCAAGGAGCACTGCCAAGGAATTGAAAGGGAGAGAATTCCGATGTGCAGTGGGGTGGCAGGGAGGGGGAGCAGTTGACGGAGAAACGTCAGGAAGGAGAGAAATCTGAGGGAGAGCAGTCGAATGGAGGGGGATTCCTGGTGTGAGCAATTTGGGAAAGAAAAATCAAAGGCGAGAGCAATTGGCAGGAGAAATCAGGGACAAAAACAAAGTTGCTGGAAAAGATCAGCAGGTCTGGCAGCATCTGTAAAGAAAAAAACAGAATTAACGTTTAGGGTCCGATTTGTGAGAGAAATCAGGGGTTGGATTTGTTGGAGAGAGAAATTGGGATGGAGAAATCAATAGGTGGAAGATTGTGGGTCAAGAGAATGAAAGGAGGATTAGAGTAAATTTGGTGGCACAGAGATTAGGACGAATCCAGAAATCAGGTGAGGGAGAACTCTTTTGGTGGGGGGAGGGGAATCTCAATCCTGAGGGTGGAGATCAAGGGGAATTCAGTTGTGTGGGTGTTGCCCCCTTTCACTCTGGCACTGATTAATGGCAAGTTATTAGCCATTTAGGATATCAAATTATAGTAGGTGATTGCTCTTCAGTCCAATGATAACTGATATTGCAAATATTGCATTTCAGTGCAAATGAAATCAAGTGACATCTGAAAGATTGGTTTTAAGAACAAATTAAAGATGTTGAAAGCAAATGATGTGAAAGATGTTAACATTTTTGTGATGGGTCACATCATCTTGTTCGTGAAAACAACTCACTGCCACTCTCTCCAGAGCAATTACAGGTGGGCAATAAATGCTGACCTAGCCAATAGTCAGATCCCATGAACTTGCAAATAAAATAAAGGCAGCCATTTCAAAATGAAAAATGATCCTTCATTGAGCAAAAATGGAAAGTGCTAGACTCACTGACGCAACAAGCATTATAGGCAGCTTATGCAGTAAGTCCACAAACATACATGCAATGAAGATATACAAGCCTGCATAGCTATTAATACCCAGATGGTTTTCCATCTGAGTACTAATTTTACTTCAGTTCTGAACAGAAATCAAGTGGAGCATTTCAGAACACCACGAATATCAGCACGATGGCTCCGTGGGGACCATGTGGATTGTGCACTTTGTTCCAATTCCATTCTGGAGGTTCTAATTGATATGGGTTGTATTGCTTTCCCTTATCGTCAACTATTTCTTTCTCTCTACATGTGCCCTTAAGCCTACTGTTTTCATTCATGTCACATTCATCTAAGAGCTCGATATTAAGGCCAAACATTTGCAATAACTGTTTTCGAGTCTGACATGACTCTTCTTCAGGACTCAAGAGTTCTCAACAAAAGTGACATCAGACTTGAAACATAGCAGACTCTCCACAGTATGCCGCCAGACCTGCTAAATTTCTCCATTTTCTATTTTAATTTGGATTTACACCTGCGGTATTTTGCTGATATATAGCTGTGTTTGCCACCAACGTGGTCCTTTTAATGCCAGTCTGAGTTGGTGGAAATAGGACACAGATTTATGGCACTCTTGAGTGTGTGGAAACTCCACATGCTTTATTTGGAATTCCTCCCTGATTAATAGCAATGAGACTTTGAAAGAGATTCCTTAACTTCTTTCCAAAATTGGAAATTGCAATTACAAAATTGCTACTCTAATTAAGTGAATGACTATGTTAAACTGCATAGTAATAACACTTTTGGGTGTCTTTAGACTGTCAGTAAAATTCCAGACATCTGGTAACTCGCCTACAGAATGGGACTGACAAATGCCTGTGATATAGGTCATCTACCCACCCTATGTGGCACAGAATGATATATGGTCCTGAGAATATAAAAAGGAAGTAACAAAATAAAATTTCTCCTCTACTCAGTGTGATTTATGTTCGCTCTGTTGTGCCCCTTTATACTACCTAGCCCTTTTTTAAAAAAATGCAGACTTTCTAAAGTCATTTACAACTATTAACTCACATTTACAAAGTCATAGTGCCTGCTCACTTCATACCATTTCAGCTGTTCCCACATTCACAAGGATTTTTCTGTTAACTGATGGGTTGTGGACCTAGCTAATTTTCCATTAAATAAAACCAAAGTAACAACTGTAGTGAATTGACTTTAACCCAGCACAATCTATCACTTCAATTTATCAGCACATTCCCAGCGTAATTGAGATGGCTGCCATTTAAACTGTTCACTTCATTTAGATTAATGATGTGCCCGCTGGAAGCATGCAGTAACTACTTGAGGGTAAGCTGGTATCATCCCTCATGTCAGAGAGAACCTGGATAGCAGTGCAACTTCATAAAGCTTCAACTGGCCAATAGAACAAAGGGACTGAAAATCTACAAATCTTAGCTGATCTCAGAAGGATGAACTTTGCTAAAATGGCAGTTTTGGAATCGATTAATTAGTTAACCATAATTAAGCCAAATTAGAGTACAAATGGGAGGATTTTATGAACAAGATTAAACATGTGGAAAATGTCTTCATGTACAAAGTCAAAAGAATATATCATAGTAAGAACAAGCTAGAGAGATGCTCTGTAGCATGAACCATTCTAATACATAAATGATTATTTTTTCATCGTGAGAAAAGAGACATGAAGTTGAAGCTTTATTTTTTCATGTAATTAAGTTAGTTATGCAATTCTGCAGACATTTGAGAAGATCCATGCCTGTTTTGCAAATAGTGGTTGCCAGTGATATCTGAAACTCCAACATGTTGTAAGAGTTCATGGATTCTATTCCCTACATGTTTGAGTTCCTAATTATAGCTCTGCTTTTGGATGAGCAGAACTGCCAATGAAGATCATGAATTCCATGAAGAATGGTGGAGTATAGAAAGGTAAGCTATTACAGGCCACTCTCAAAAGATTTCTTCTAAATTGCTTATAGAGAATCTGCCATTTGCATATACTCTACACAATTCTTTTGTTTCAATTGTAATTTCTTTTGATCATACACTATCAACTCTTCTGTCAATTATTGTCTCCTTTCCTCTGCCTTATCACACATCCCCTTTTTTGATCATTTTTCTCACTTGCTTAAAACTTGTTACATTTTAATCTTTTTCTAGATCTGATGCAAATCATTAACCTGAAATATCAACTTTCTCTGTACATATTATCAGACTTGTCAGAAAGAAATCTTGCGATTTCTTGATTTTCGGAATTGCTGTGCAAGCGAAGCCTAATGGAATCAAGAATGTTCAGATATACTTAAAGTGACCACTGAGTTAGTTAACTTTTAGTCATCACAACATTTATAGTACTGCCCTACTTAAGACCACAAAATCCCTGGGCTGAAGAGGGGTAACGTCTCCCACAGTTTTTGTTCATTACCAGGTTTTTTCTGCAGGTAAGTATACATCTATGAACATTGGATGAGAGCAGGATCAGGTTTAACAGAGATTTAATCACAGTGTTTATTAACAATACCCCATATTGAAGAATGACTACTTGAATGAAGTACTCAAGATATTAGCACCAATGGAAATGCACCCAATACCAGTCACTGTTTTCATGAGAAAATTCCAAACAGCAAAAAAAATTGCAAAGATGTTGTTACGTACAACAAACAAATACAGATAAGTGCTTCGGAATTAAAGCACAATTACAGGTCAATGCTTCGGAATTACACCATATGCTCATGATACATTAATGCATCTTTAGGAAGATTCTGCAACCGAATCCATTGTTATGGTTCCTCTTCTTGCAATTTATGAAAGAGAGTGAAAAGAAGGAAAGAAAGCAAAATCAAATTGTTATCCTTGATTTGGATCTTTATGAGTATCCCTCTATTGGATGGTGCACTGCCTTCCGTCTGTGCCTCTACTTGGAGCTGACATGAAAGATATTACTAAGACAGATGATCTTGCATGGCACTGTACAATGCACATCTTGTTTGAATTAGCTAATAATAAGACACAAGATGTAATATACACCTTGTTTGAATCACCTGTGCAGACCTCAATTATTCAAAATCAAAAAATACAAACCGATCATTTTATTCCACTCAATCACCTCCATTCCAGTATTACGCACATCGTTATGGGTGCAGAAAATTCAATGGATTTATTCATTTTAATTTATACAAATTCCTAATTTCATTTTTTTCTTATGTTAATTCACAAAGACTCTGAGAGATGGATTTGTAGAAGTTACTTGGTTTTCAAAGGGTTAATTCTGAATAAAAGGATTAGTGTCTAAACAAACATGTCATTCACCAATCTGACCTTCCTTGGTGCATAGTTTTTCAACTTTGCTTTTTTCGCCATTCGAATTATTCAGAATCTGGTGGGGAACGACCACCTGCACAAACATAACTATTCAACAGAATCAGACACTCCAATAGAGGCATCTGATACCCTTGTGCACGTACTTAATGCACAACAGACCTGACACCATCTTGTGCCAGGCAATGTCAAAAGTTTGAGCTTTGCAGTTGGGTTGACAGGGTGGGCCTGATTGACAGACATCTGGCTGGAACTGGGAGGCTAAAGCCACCCTGGGAGATCATCAGTGGTTTGAAGCACTTTGTGAGAGCCTTTGTTATAGATCTGATACAGTGAAATCTCAGTTAACTCTTAAGGCAGTTCTGCAAATGGTGCAAAGTTCAATAAACATAAAATGTACTGAATTATTTTGTTACAAATAATAGTAATACTGACACTTACATAGGCCTTCATTCTACAAAATGACTTATAAAATAATTTATTTTTGTAATGTGATAGTTGTTCTTATATTGGCACATTGATGTATGCACACACATGTGAGTACCAGGAAAAGAAAAATCACACAGGAATCTAGATTAGTCAGATTTTCAATTGACAGAAGTATTTATACCTAATGTCACTATGTGATTTATTTTTGCTGAACGAGAACTGAATTTGAATTCCCTTCACTCCAACATTGCTTTAATATCTACCTGTAATATTCTAAGTGTGGTAACTACTTCCTTAATCACATAATTTTTCTGATTGGGTAACAAATTTTCATTGCAGCTATCTAAGCACTTGTTGTCATTGTTGTAAGAAATGCAACAATCAATTTGTGATACAAAAACAGAAATTGCTGGAAAAATCTCAGCAGGTCTGGTGGCACCTATAGAGAGAAATCAAAGTTAATGTTTTGGTTAGCTCTGAAGAACAATCTGAATTTCTGAAAAAGGGTTATTAGGTTCAAAATGTTAACTCTGATTCTTCTCTACAGATGCTGCCAGACCTGTTGAGGTTTTCCAGCAATTTCTGTTTTTCTTTCAGATTTCCACCATCCGCAGTTCTTTCATTTGTTTTTAACCAATTTGTGGTCATTGAGTCCCACTAACAGCGTGATGTTCTGTTTTAGTGACGTTAGTTGTGGGATAAATATTGGATAGGGCATTGAGGTGGATGCCCTGCTTTGAAATATGGCCATGGGATTTTTAATGACCATCCAAGATGGCAGATGGACTTTGAATTAATATCTCATCTGAAGGTTATCACCTTTGTCAGTGCAGTACTCTCTCACTATTGCACTGGAGTGTCAACCTAAATTTTTATGTGCTCAAATCCTGGAATGTGAATTGATTCTTCCCAATTACTGAATTCTGGAATTTCAGTCATGGAAGCTCATCTATCACTACATAGGAGTATAATTGTTATCCTAACCATTGAGTAAGAAAATCTAAGAAATTAAATAAAGATTGGTTTCATTAGTCAACCTTTGCAATGTTGCTTTACATGAGGAATTATGGATCAATAGTGGAACCCAAAGAAATGAAAACCTTTGTACATTTCATGTTGGATGTTAATAAGAGTGTAAAAGGCTCTAATGCAACGTTCCTTCTAGGTTGCATAGTTGTGCAGCTGCTTGAGGATCTGCACACAGTGATCAATGTGCTTACAGGATCCCAGCCCTGACTTCCAGTTTTGGAAGTTGCTGCTGTGCATGGACCTCAGAGGTCTGCATAGAAGAAAAATTATTTAGAGGGAATGTGGTTCTGGGGTAGAGTGTTGCCAATATGTTTAGCATTGATAAATAGGTTATACTGGGTGGAGGTTGTACAAGATACAAAAGGCACCCTCGAAATATAAGTTCTTCATTTGACTGATTAGAAAATTATACGCAGTGTGTACTAAAATTTCAAATTTGTCGTGCCAGCAGACAATACCTACTGTCAGCAGCACCAAGTCAAACATTTATCAATTCTGAAATGGCAGTAAATCAGTGAGGCACAGTCGAGCTGAAGAAATTAAGTTAAACAAAAGTAATAAACACAGAATCATGAGGAATAGGTAAAACAGGTTTAAACTCATGGTAAAGAATGCAGTGGAATCTTATTGTAAATAACAAGAGTATGATATGCAATACTTAAAAATGTGGCTTTCAATTATGTTGTTAACAATAACAGGAAAATTGAAGTAAGTACAATAGAAACCAAGACTTGCACCTTTCATGACACAAGACATCCTAAATGTGTTTGGGCCAATGAAGTGCATTGAGAACTAAGTCCAGAACTTCTGTTTTAGTAATCTTGATTGAGAGATAAATGTTCATCAGGATGCTGGAGAAAATACACAATTACTCTTGATGCAGTGCTATTGAAACTTTTACATCCACCTGATGGGACAGATGTTTTCAATTTAATGCACAACTGGAAAGGCAGCATCTCCAAAAATGCAGTATTTTTTCAGTACTGCACTGGATTGTTAGCCTAGGTTATGTGTAAGTGTCCAGAGTGGGACACACAACTTTCTGACTCAATCACAAATGCTGCTGCTGAGGCAATGCTGACCTCAATGTGTAAAGAAATATATAAAACTTTGAAGATTATGCTTCACAGCCAGGCATTGATTAAAAAGAGAGTTTTTGCTTTTATATAGTTGTATTACAGGTGTTATTAAAAAGATTTGTATTTGAGCCAGCAAGCTAATTGCTATATGTATATAAACATATATTACTTAATAAAGCAACTATATAAAAGGCATACTGTATTGTGCAATATCTTTGCTACAGTGAGGTGATTATAAAAGTTAAGTAATGGTTGCCATAGTTTCTGAAAGAGGTTCTGATTAAATCTCACAACACAATGCAATTTTCTCCATTGCGATGGTTTTCCATAATGAATTCAGTCATGGTGGCATTTCTGGAGATTTTCTGTAGCAGTGTTTTTAGACAAAATGTAAAAATGTCAAGGTTGCAATTCTTTAAAAAAAAGAATAACATGGATTGAGAAATGGTTCCATATAGTTCTCATATGTCTCATAAT